CTTAGAGGAACGCACCTAGTCCGGAGTCCTTTGTATGCATGATCATTTCCAAAGTCGGACCGTGGACGTGGTACGCATTTTTATTATTTGTATTAAAGCATTCTACTTTCTAAATGAAATATAAAGCACTGATCAAAAGGCTCAATATAAAATGTGCTGGGTAATGCAGAACTTAGTAGTGAGTAAATTATAGCATATCCCTTCGATCTTGATTTACTCAAAGGCTAAGCTATTATTTTTAAATCCTTTTGTCTATTTCATTCTATTCTTTTTTAATGCCTAAAACACAAATAAAATGAATGTCAACATTCATACGACAAGTGGAGAAGCCTAACAATATCGACTGCATCAGAACGCCTTTTTTTATACAACTGACAGTTTTAGATTGTGCGGTCTTCTGTAACTACAATGAACGCAAAAAAAGAACTTTTCAAACCTATTCCTAATAGGAGTAGCTTTTGAGACTACCAGTATATAGTTATTAAGACCTTGAGTCGTCCTCGATGACTAATGGTTATTTAAGTATTGATAGCTGAATTTACCAGTGATGAGATTATCAGGCCTAACAATGTCATTGGATTTCCTTTAGCCTTGCCTCAGAAGGTTTTCTCATCTTGGATAGACTACAGTTTCGACCTTGCCTAGTTCGGATCAGCGCTACCCTTTTAGTGATTATTATAATGTATGGATGATTTAATCAAATTTAATATTTATTGACTCTCAATTGCTCTGAAGCCCTGCGTCTCATAAATCTTACTTGTTATTTAAGTTAATCCTTTTCCTCTTATTACTTTAAGGGCCGGCGAATTTTCTTCACGATTTCTGAATACTCACCTCTTCTCGACTCCTCAGACATGACCATGGACGACTGGTTGCGTATTGCCCGTGACGTCGAGGCAGACTATCACAAATACGATGGCTTTATTGTGCTTCATGGCACTGATACTATGTCCTATACAGCATCAGCGCTCTCCTATATTCTGGAGAATTTGGGAAAGTCTGTAATTATCACAGGCTCTCAGATTCCCATCTTTGAGATACGTAGCGACGGCCGGGACAACTTTCTCGGTGCTCTGCTCCTGGCTGGAGGCGATTATTCGATCCCGGAAGTTACAGTTTATTTTCATAATAAGGTTTGTAATCTTTATTATGTGTTTGCTGACATAATTTAAAAACACTTATTTGAGGCAACCTTTACATTAATCTTCTTTCCGTAAAACATTTTCTCAGATTTTAAGTTTATTAAGTATTTCTACTTGAACACTGACATAATGGAGCCTCGGAATCTCACCTCAGGTCATTTTATTAATACAAGACTTGGCATTTCAATGAGCTCAGATACACTTAGATTGCTTTCTTTCGATATCGAGTTGTATCTTAAAGGCTCTTCTCACACAGGCTGACTTAAAGTTTTGACCTCACCATGGCCGCATTAGCATCCCCATGATCCGAGCTCCTTTTTAAATTATCACAATCCTTTGTTTAATTATTAGTATTATATGTTAGACTATACATACACACATAAGGGAGCCCATATACATGAAAAAAAAATTATAAGAATTTAGGAAAAGCACGTATACATTAGGAAATGATTCAAAAGAAAAGTTAAGACCACTATTTTGTCACACCCAGGGCAGAATAAATTTAGCAAAATTCTTTTATGGACGAGGCTCGAATTTA